CACAGGCTGGACGTCGCTGGAGACAACCTTCGCTGGAGGCGACCTGCAATCCTGACGTTGGTCTCCACTCTTCATCCGGTGGCCGCTTCTTCAGTTCAATCCAAGGGTACCCCTCTGTATGCTGATTAATCAACACTTCCGATCGTTGTGGATTTACCATTGTGGATTATATGACTTTTTCCAGTGGATTACAGACTCTGTTTCCAAGGGGTTAAAGCATTGCTACAATGGAATTATCGAGACGATATGGAATTATAATCAACACAATGGAATTACCAAGAACATTGTGGGATTACCTTGACTTTTGTTTTCCTTGCTGGATTACTTTTGACTTTTGTTTTCCTTGCTGGATTACTCTTGACTCTTGTTTCTTTGCTGGATTACATCAAGCTTCAAGGACGATCGACGACGTAAGTCCATAGTTGGAATTCATCTCCATGGACAGGTGATGATTTCCAAAGGGGGGACTGTAGTGGACTAGGCCTACGTCAAAACTAAGTCTAAGGTCAAAACTCTTGACCTTTAGAACCTTGTGGGACAGGAACTGTCATTTCATGTATTTGAATACATAGATACAGGTTCACCCATCCTGAGACTTTCTTTCTTGAAGATTCAAGTGAAAAGAACACTCTCTTTTTATTATCATTACTATCTTACAAATGTTGATAATCAAAGTGTCTTAGTTCAAACCATTTTAGATGTTGCAGTGAACTAATCAATTTTATTAACTGAGTAATGATTTTTATTCTCATGTTAAAAGCTGTTGCAGAGTAATTATGCATTTTTCTGATTTCTGCTTTTGAATGAGCAAGTGTGTGCGTTTACAAGGTTACAGTCAAACGAAAAACAAGTTGTTATGTTAAAACTGTCATGTTTTAGAATCCTCTCAGACGTAAATAGAGGTGTTTTGCACCTGTGTCTTAGGCACGCCAAAACAGAACCCTCTCGGTCTGTGAGAACATTTCTGAGCTGTCTCATAACAATTCTCGCTGTCTCTAACCCCTTACGTCACAAAAACACACCCCTTCTGGTCGTTTCTGACCAATGAAAAATCCCAAAAAGTGAACCGGGAAAGAGTCTTTAAAATGTCAGTACTTCCTGGTCTACACAGACTCACGGAGTTACAGAGTTGGAGAGTTGTCAGACTTCAAGAGTTCTGTGGGAGTTCTGTAAACTACACGAGAGCTAAAGTTCTGATGGAGTGCTGTTGGAGTTCCTGACATGACAACGAAGCTCTTCCGAGTTCCATGGGATTATAACATTTTCCACTGAGGTGAATGTGTGTCGAACAGAGCCTCGCCACTACTTCTGACGGGCAACAGCCATTCTAAGGAGACGCTGCACCGGTAGCGTTAACGGAACACCATATCTGCTGATTATCATC